TGCTCCAGCAAAGTCTTGGACATGGTGATCTTGGTGCCCTACAACCATCCTCCAACCACCCTCCACAGATCAAGCAAGAGCCCAATAAAGAACCCAATAAAGAACCCACCAAAGAACACGCTCCACCAAGAACCAAAGAACATGATTCACTCACTGCTCCAGCAAAGTCTTGGACATGGTGATCTTGGTGCCCTACAACCACCCTCCCGAGATCCAACAAGAACCCAAAAAGAACCCACCAAGAACAAAGAACAATCTCCCTCCCTCCACAGATCAAGCAAGAGCCCAATAAAGAACCCACACAAAGAACCCACAAAGAACACGCTCCACCAAGAACCAAAGAACACATGATTCACTCACTGCTCCAGCAAAGTCTTGGACATGGTGATCTTGGTGCCCTACAACCACCCTCCCGAGATCCAACAAGAACCCAAAAAGAACCCACCAAGAACAAAGAACAATCTCCCTCCCTCCACAGATCAAGCAAGAGCCCAATAAAGAACCCACACAAAGAACCCACAAAGAACACGCTCCACCAAGAACCAAAGAACACATGATTCACTCACTGCTCCAGCAAAGTCTTGGACATGGTGATCTTGGTGCCCTACAACCATCCTCCAACCACCCTCCACAGATCAAGCAAGAGCCCAATAAAGAACCCAATAAAGAACCCACCAAAGAACACGCTCCACCAAGAACCAAAGAACATGATTCACTCACTGCTCCAGCAAAGTCTTGGACATGGTGATCTTGGTGCCCTACAACCACCCTCCAACCACCCTCCACAGATCAAGCAAGAGCCCAATAAAGAACCCACCAAGAACCAAAGAACACGCTTCACCAAGAACCAAAGAACAATGTTCACTCACTGCTCCAGCAAAGTCTTGAACATGGTGATCTTGGTGCCCTCCAACCACCCTCCACAGATCAAGCAAGAGCCCAATAAAGAACCCACCAAGAACCAAAGAACACGATTCACTCACTGTTCCAGCAAAGTCTTGGACATGGTGATCTTGGTGCCCTCCACGTTGATGAGGTCCTGGTCCACCGGCATGTTCTTCTCCTCCTCCTCCTCCTGCTCCTCCGTCATGGCCACCTGCATGGCCCCCGGCCCCGCCCCGCCCTTGTTGTACATCGGGCACTCCTTGTTGGTGCGCATGTGCCCGATCTGGCCGCAGGCCCCGCACTTCATCTGCAAAGATTTACCGTGCTGGTGGTGAGTGGAAGGCCACAGGAATGTGCTCTACCACACAATCAAAGATTTACCGTGCTGGTGGTGAGTGGAAGGCCACAGGAATGTGCTCTACCACACAATCAAAGATTTACCGTGCTGATGGTGAGTGGAAGGCCACAGGAACGTGTTCTACCACACGATCAAAGATTTGGGGGTGGGGTGGGGTTTTTTCTCTGTTCATGATCAGGAATATTGTTCCATTTTTTTGTTTAAACTATGTTAAATAAAAGAATGTACTTTATTTTACTTGTAGGTTTCCAGATAAACTTGAAAAAACATGAACAAAAAACAAAACAAAAAACATAATGACCTTACATCTGACTGGGAAAAACAGGAACTTTAAAATCTTTTTTTAAAAAAATAGTTGGCTTCTACCAATTTGAAAATTTCTAGAAACGGGACCATCTACATTTTATCATATTATTATAAAGAAATACTTCCACTGCTTCATGATCATGAACAAAAGTTTATTAATAATTCAAAGTTCCCGTTACACGCGACGCATCAAAGTTCACATTACAAGCAACACACGTGACACATCAGAGGAAACTTACGCGACACATCAGAGGAAACTTACGCGACACATCAAAGTTCACGTCACACGCAACACACCTCTCTAGCTTCAACAGCACAAAGTCTGCTTCGACTATCAAGACCCCCCCGCAAGTAGCAGTTGACAAGAGAGTGACAAACATACAAAAGCTAGTAAGTAAGGAAACTTTGAGAGAACGGCGTCCCCACCAGTACCTTGGAGGCCTTGAGAAGCTGCTCCTTCTCCTTCTTTGGCTTTTTCTTGGGTGGCGGGGTGGTGGAGGGTTTCTCCTGGTTCCGCTTGATTCTCCTCAGCTGCTCCTGGATTCTCCTTCTCTCCTTCCTCATCTCCTCCTTCTGCTGGTCGTCCATCGCCGCAAACTGTTTGCTGAAATCAACATAACACCACACACGACAATGAGTTAAGAACAATGTTTGCTGAAATCAACATAACACCACACACGACAATGAGTTAAGAACAATGTTTGCTGAAATCAACATAACACCACACACGACAATGAGCTATGAACAATGTTTGCTGAAATCAACATAGCACAACACACAACAATGACGAGCTATGAACAATGTTTGCTGAAATCAACATAACACCACACACGACAATGACTTAAGAACAATGTTTGCTGAAATCGACAACAACACAACGACTTATAACCAACATTTTAAAAAAGTTTTTATAAGTGCTTTTCGGCAATTGGAACACAATAAGATCATATAAGTGCCGAAGATTAAAAGTGTAGCAAAGAGAGTAACAAACACAAAATAAAGGAGAGATGAGGATGATAGACGTTTGACAGGGAAAGAAGGAGTAAACCACACTAGAGCACCCGCAGCAAAAAGGCACAATGAGTTATGACCAGTACTTGCTGAAATCAACATAACACAATAATAATAATAATAATAATATAATAATAGATAGCATTTGTATAGCGCATATCCCCGCTCAACAGCAGGCTCTATGCGCTTTTCACTATATTATTACCCCAGCAGACCATAGAACACTCCGAAACATTCTCAGCTTCCTGGGAAACACAACACATGACAACGAGTTATGAACAATGTTTGCTGCAGTCATCCAAAACACAGCATGACACAGCACAAAAAAAGATTTTTGACAACAGAGCAACCATTTGTATACTTACGACCTAAGAACATGCATCAAAATAACACTGAGTGGCTATCTAGCTTACGATTATTATTGTTTATATTGCTGCTTGTTTGTATTATGCATGCGATTGTAAGCCTGCATGTGTGTGAATGTGTGAGCGCGCGCGCGCGTGTGTGTGAGTACACGAGGTGAAACACCAAACCAATGTGCCAGGATCTGGACAATAAAGATATATCTTATCTTATCTTATTCTGAGGACCATCTAGTTCTGCGTCTACTCACATGAAGTTTGGATCCCTGGTCTGTCGTATCCTGAGGTAAGCGTCGATGACCACGGGGTTACTGACCATCTCCGACCTCTGGTACTGGCGGCCCGTGTCGTCGTGAAACGTGCGCACAATCTTCAACTTCCGCCCGCGGTGTTGCTGGAATTTTTGTTTTATTTTAGTGTTTTACAAATTCAATCTCGTTTTTACACACTCATTCAGATGTTTTCTACACACTCAATAATGTTTTTTAACGCTCTCAACCACATGTTTTTATACACTTAATCACATGATTTTTATACACTCAACCACGTTTTTACACAATCATGCAGATGTTTTTTACAAACTCAATTGCACATGTTTTTTTACAAACTCAATCAAATGTTTACACACTCAACTGAAAATGTTTTTACACACTCAACCATATGTTTTTAGTTTAGTTTTAGTAGAGGTTTTACTGCGCTTGCAAAACAATACAGTCACAAAAGAGCGGAAGGTCAGAGGTGTTACAAGAGAGTAAAAAAGAAAAAAAAAGAAGGAGAGATAAGGACGATAGATGTTTGATAGGAAAGAAGGAGCAAATCACACCAGAGCACCCGCCAACCACCCACGTTGCTGAAGGAACACGAGATGACATCATCAGTGGAGCACACACTTATCAGACAGCGCCACACAAACAATTAACTGGCTTTTCTTTTTCACATACCCATTTACACACTCAATCACGTTTTTACACACTCAATTGCACATGTTTTTTTACACACTCAATCACAGGTTTCAACAAAGGAACGCACTCAAAGCCCAACCAAAAAAATATATCAAAATAGAAAACAATAATCAAACAAACTGTGATACTGCTAACTCCAGTCCAGAAACAAGGCTGTCTGCCCACAAAGATATGTGCTCATTTCACAGACCCTGACTAACCTCAACTAACTTGACCAACTAAGACTAATTTCAAGGACTCCACGGCAACTATTTCTTAGTTTTGCTTCAGTAGAGGTTTTCCGGCGCTCGCAACTGCACACAGTCATATGAGCGCAAGAAGATTAGAGGAATAACAAGAGAGTAACAAACATAAAAAAGAAGAAGGGAGATATAGGTTGCTAGATGTTTGATAGGAAAGAAGAAGCAAACCACACCAGAGCACCCGCCGACCACCCACAACGAATTCGTAAAAGCAAAAAAAATAAAAGCCCACAACGCCCGCTGGCCTGGGATATGAAGAGAGATTAAGTCGTCGACAGATGGAGAGAAAGGGGAAGGACTTTTACTAACTTGACTAGCTTCACCGACTTGATTAACTTTCACCAACTTGACTGACTTCACGACAACTATTTCTTAATACTTTGCCACCACAAGGCTCATGAAGTAAAAACCCTCGCAATCAACAGCAAAAGGCATTTTGGGGAAAATCCAAAGAAACTGGGTGGTAAACATGGCTGATCGGCGAGATGTGACGGCAAACAAAGCGTTAAAGACAAAAAAATAAACGCCCACAGCGCCCAACAGGCCTGGGATGTGAAGCATGACTAAGTTGTCGACGGATGGAAAGAAAGGGGAAGGAGAAATCTACCATCATGTCGTCCTCCTTGGAGTTGCTCGTCTTGCTCTTCTTGTCCTTGTCTGCGATCTCTCCTTTGAGCATGCGCTGCAACTCTCGCCGCTCCGCCTCCTCCTTCTCACGGGACAACTGGGGAGAGAGAGAACAGACGAATACAGTGAGGAAGAGAACAGACGAATACAGTGAGGAAGAGAACAGGTGAACAGAGAACAAACAGACACTATAAGTAGGACAACTGAGGAGAGAGAGAACAGACGAATACAGTGAGGAAGACAACAGATGAACAGAGAACAAACAGACACTATAAGTAGGACAACTGGGGAGAGAGATAGAGAACAGACGAATACAGCGAGGAAGAGAACAGATGAACAGAGAACAAACAGACACTATAAGTAGGACAACTGGGGAGAGAGAGAGAGAGAGAACAGACGAATACAGCGAGGAAGAGAACAGATGAACAGAGAACAAACAGACACTATAAGTAGGACAACTGGGGAGAGAGAGAACACACGAATACAGTGAGGAAGAGAACAGATGAACAGAGAACAGACACTATAAGTAGGACAACTGGGGGGAGAGAGAGAGAGAGAGAGAGAGAGAGAACAGAGGAATACAGTGAGGAAGAGAACAGATGAACAGAGAACAAACAGACACTATAAGTAGGACAACTGGGGAGAGAGAGAACAGACGAATACAGTGAGGAAGAGAACAGACGAACAGAGAACAAACAGACGGACAACTGGGAAGAGAGAGAGAGAGAACAGAGGAATACAGTGAGGAAGAAAACAGATGAACAGAGAACAAACAGACACTATAAGTAGGACAACTGAGGAGAGAGAGAGAGAACAGACGAATACAGCGAGGAAGAGAACAGATGAACAGAGAACAAACAGACACTATAAGTAGGACAACTGGGGAGAGAGAGAACAGACGAATACAGCGAGGAAGAGAACAGATGAACAGAGAACAAACAGACACTATAAGTAGGACAACTGGGGAGAGAGAGAGAGAACAGACGAATACAGTGAGGAAGAGAACAGATGAACAGAGAACAAACAGACACTATAAGTAGGACAACTGGAGAGAGAGAGAACAGACGCAATTTTTTTTTCCGAAAGAGTTTTACGGCACTTGCAACACAATAAGGTTATATAAGAGCCGAAGATTAGAGGGTCTTTTTGTGTTTTAGTAGAGGGTTTTACAGCGCTCGCAACTGCATAAGGTCATATGAGCGCCAAGGGGTGGGTGTCAACAGAGAAGTCTTTACAGGGAATCAGACTTAGAACTGGTCAACAGAATCTAGCGGGGTCCGGTGAGTCATGACCCACAAGCCCGGCGGTCAACAGAATCTAGCGGGGTCCGGTGAGTCGTAACCCTCTAGCCCGGCGGTCAGTCACCTGAGTGCTAGTCTTCTTGTTGGACAACATGCTCTCGATGTTCTTGCCCATCTCCTCAAAGTCCGAGTCCTCGCCCGACGTGGATTCCTCGTCTGTGGATAACGTCTCCGTGGAAGCCAGAACCCTGGGGGAAGTTTTATATATATATATATATGTGTGTGTGTGTGTGTGTGAGGCAGTGTGGTGAAATCAGGTGCTCGTCAAAATAACGAAATCGGAGAAGCAAGCATGTTTCCGCTAGTTCGGAAATTGTTATCGAATTTTTAATTTTTGGTTTAACCTCTTTTCCGTCCTTACAAAAACACATTTCCAGGTGAATTTTACTAGAAACCATTGATTAAAAGCACAAAATATGTCAGTTTTCAGTTTTCAGAGACTCCTTAGCTATTGGAGCTACCAAACTTGGGAGGCCATTTTCTCGCTAATTTCACCACTGAAACCAGGCTACCTAACTTCCTTCAATTGCAAATATCTTGAATTCTATTCCAGATAAAAGGGATATTTATTTCATTGGTTCTTGTTCTTGTTCTTGTTTCAGGAAGCAACATCCCTGCACTCCGGACATGTCCATTGATGCTCCGTTGTTCATTGGAAGCAAGGCAAATAAATCAGCTTTCAGATGATGCCAAGCGCCTGATTCCACCCCCCCGTCGTGACACATATATTTATGGGAACAATGTGGCAAATGTGTTTTCTATATACATATTCATGTACTGATCACATTTTATTACTGGAAGAATTTACTCTCAAATCCCTGATTGTCAAATCCAGGAGAGTTCCAGGACACCAGGCACAGTCGGCAAACCTGTTTTAGAAACAATCAGACGGAACCAGACCTATATAATGAGAAGTTGGAAAGCTCAAGGCAGCCCTCACCTATTCTGCAAGTCAAAGATTCGCTGGCATTCCTCTTTGTAGCGCTCCATGTGCTCGGCAGCAGAGTAGCGGTTTCCACGAGCAAACTTTACCCAACCTGGGAACACACAACGCACAGACAACGTTTCACGGAGGAAACACATGATGAAAATCTGCCCCAACCTGGGAACACGCAAACGCATGGACAATGTTTCGTGGAGGTACAGTCAAACATCATTTGTGAGGCAGCGTGGTGGAATCAGGCTCTCGTCAAAATAATCAAAGTGAAGAAACTGGCATTTTCTCGCAGGTTTGTGAATTTTTTTCAAATTTTTGTTTTTTGGCTGAACACCTTTCATATCCATTTAAGAACTCATTTCTGTGTGGATTTTTCTGAAAAACGTTGATTAAAGGCACAAAAAATGTAAATTTTTAGTTACCACAGACTCTTAAGCTAAGGAAATAACTAATCTTTGGCGGCCATTTTCTCACTAATCTTGCCTCTGAAAACCGATGACCCCCACCCCCTTCATTCGCAAATAACTCGACTAATGTTCTAGATAAATGGATATTTTTTCCCCTCAAATAAAGACAAATGAACAAGCTTGAAGATGACACCAATAACTCCACATGCCCAAAAATTGACGAGAGCCTGATTCCACCGCGCTGCCTCACATTTGTTTTCTCCTCATATTACTTCAGAAAAAGTCAGTAAATGTAAGGATCTAAGGCCACTATCTCAATACTATGAGGTTATTGAAGAGGAGAGACCTCCAAATTCAGCATCTATCTGTAGAAGAACCCAGCCACTAGGGCTGGTTTGTTTTTTGTTTTTGTAAAGTGTTTTACGGCGCTCGCAACTGCATAAGGTCATATGAGCGCGCGGGACACTCCTAATATTTTCAGTTGGTAGGAAATTTTGAATTTTGCCCGGGTGGCGGCCGAAGCCTACTCTTATCGATTTTAGACCACCAAGGGATCTTTAACGTGCGCAACTTGCACACGGGCCCTCCGAGATTTTTCGCCCTTGTCCGAGAAGGATAGGTGTAGATGTTTCCTACCAGAAGATCAGGGGTGTGGCAGAAAGACAGCAGTAAGGAGGAGCCAAGGAGTAGCAATAGAAAGGCTGCAGAAAGAGTCAGGAGCCCAGAGGAGGGGGCAAAGGAGGTGAGGGGGTGGGGGCAGAAAGTGGAAATGAAAGCAGACAACAGAACATTGCTAGAGAGCAGGAAAGGAGTTGAAAGGAGACAATTTTAGAGAAGAAAATTTTTCGGTCGCTACCCGGATTCGAACCCGGGACTTTTGAATGAGAGGCCAACACCTTAACCTCTAGGCCACGAGAGCCCCCCTAGGGCTCGGCAATGAGTCGCTTTAACAAAATTCAGATAATATGTTAGTGCGCCTCTTCTGCAATTAGTATGATATGAACCGCTTCGTCAAAAGGGTTGGAACCACTTTGACAAACGGGTTAGCATCACTTCAACAAATTGGAGCACCCACTTTGGCAAACGGGTCAGGAAAGGGAGTTAAAAGGAGTCTGAATTCGGAAAATGTTTCATTGAGAATTATCCGGTTATCATTATAGTTTATCCGGATCTTGCCCACCTCTACCAGCCACACGGGCTGGGAGCCTTGCAAAACGACCCTAAGTTCAAGAATGATCAAAAACTCAAACACAACGTCATCACACAGGGAGTTGTAGTTTAGTTTTAGTAAGAGTTTTACGGCACTTGCAACACAATAAGGTCGTATAAGTGCCGAAGATTAGAGTGGAGGTGTTACAATAGAGTAACGAACACAAAAACGGAGGAGAGATCAGAACGACTGTTGTTTGATATCATTTTCGCTACACAATTATCAGTTTCACAATTATCATTTTCATTTTACAATCATCATTTTCATTATCATTTTCATGATACAATCATCATTTTCATTATCATTTTCATTACACATTATCATTTTCATTACACAATCATCTTTTCCATGACACAATCATCCCTCTCAATCCCGGCGTCCCCCCCGAGGTGTCGACTCACCAGTAGTGTCTTGTCCTTGCTTGGCCTGCTCTGTCGACATGGTCCTCACCACGTCAATTACCTCCCATCTAGACAGCTTCTTGATCTGAGTCACAATAAAATATAGTACGCAATTTTTTAGCTTTCGGGAAAGATTTGCATCGCCTGCAACACAATAAGGTCATATAAGTGCTGAAGATTACAGGTGTTTTAGTTTTAATAAAAGTTTTTAAAAAGTTTTAGTAGAGGTTTTATGGCGCTCGCAACTGCATAAGGTCATATGAGCGCCAGAAGATTAGAGGTGTTACAAGAGAGTAACAAACATAAAAAAGAAAGAGAGGAGAAAAAGATGATTGATGTTTGACAGAAAAGAAGAAGTAAACCACATCAGAGCACCCGCCAACCACACACAGTTACGATAAAACCGGTGTACATTTCAAAGTTTTTATTAAAAGTTTTGCGTCGCTTGCAATAAAATGATGTCATATAAGTGTCGAAGACTAGAGGTGTTAGTAGAGAGTAACATACAAAGAAAAGAAGGACCAGAGAAAAGGACGATAGGTACTGACCGCTATCAGAAGGTACAGGTACTGACCGCTATCAGAAGGCACAGGTATCGACCTCTATCAGAAGGTAAAGGTACTGACCGCTATCAGAAGGTAAAGGTACTGACCGCTATCAGAAGGCACAGGTACTGACCGCTATCAGAAGGCACAGGTATCAACCTCTTTCAGAAGGCACAGGTACTGACCGCTATCAGAAGGCACAGGTATCGACCGCTATCAGAAGGCACAGGTACTGACCGCTATCAGAAGGTACAGGTACTGACCGCTATCAGAAGGCACAGGTATCGACCTCTATCAGAAGGCACAGGTACTGACCGCTATCAGAAGGCACAGGTATCGACCGCTATCAGAAGGTACAGGTATCGACCTCTATCAGAAGGCACAGGTATCGACCTCTATCAGAAGGTACAGACACAGTACCTACCTCGGGTTCAGGAACTCCAAACTTGCGAAGGAGCTGCTTAGCGTCTTGTAAGTTCAGCTTTCTCAAGTCAGCGTCTGTCCCCGTCACCGTCTTTTTCACGGGCGTTTCTTTGGCCTCTTCCTTGGTGGTTGGCTTGTTGGGCACCTGAGAAAAGGGACCAAACGATGAGTTTGAAATGAAATACAACAATATATGTTACAAACACCTCTCTCAGGAACCCGAGAAAAGGGACCAAACGATGAGTTTGAAATGAAATACAACAATATATGTTGCAAGCATCTCTCTCAGGAACCCGAGAAAAGGGACCAAACGATGAGTTTGAAATGAAATACAACAATATATGTTACAAACACCTCTCTCAGGAACCCGAGAAAAGGGACCAAACGATGAGTTTGAAATGAAATACAACAATATATGTTACAAACACCTCTCTCAGGAACCCGAGAAAAGGGACAAAATGACAAGTTTAACAAGAAATGTAACATACATCATGAACACCCCTCTCAGAAACTCAGAAGTAAAGAAAGATAAAAAAGATCATTTTACCAAGACAGAAGGAAGATACAACACAGAGGTGAGGATTTCAGTTGCTGGTTCTCCTAAAACGAAACATCTATCTCTTGCAGCATCTGCCAAGAGTAAATAAAACTGACGGCAAACGGATTATAAAAAATTCTAGGTACCTATTTTTTTTAATTTAAAAAAAAAAATGAATAATGCCCTTCCTCAACGTGAAATGCACAAAAGTTCAACGACCCGTTCTGGTCTTCCTTCAGGCCCAGTCGGAGTCGGATTACAATTTGCCTACCAGGCAGGAAAAATTAAACCGGTTCCGCTGATCTCGCCGGAGAAAGCAGTGAAAGGCAGAGGATTTTTAAAAAGCCCGATTTCCGTTTTAGCCGGAAAACTGGCAACCCTGCCTAAAACTCTCAGTGAAAACTTAAAAAGGACGAGCGAGCGTGCGAATCGACCACCGACCTTGATGTAGGAGAATCCCTCGCCACAGCCTGTGGGGTCGGCCAGACCGGTCAGCTGTAGCAGACACTTGCCCTTCATGGCCGAGATGTACGCCCGTGTCGTGTTCCACGGGGCCACCCGGATCTGAGGAGGGGGGGGGATGTAAGGTCACATCGTAAAACACGCAGTAAAACATATCAACCGACTGTAAAACATACTGAAAAACATATTGACTGTAAAACATATTGACTGAAAAACATATTGACTGAAAAACATATTGACTGTAAAACATATTGACTGAAAAACATACTGCAAAACATATCGACTGTAAAACATACTGTAAAACATTCAATACAGGGTAAACAATATGAAAGAAACAGTAGTGAATGATCTATGGCTTCCAGACATTGCTCACACATACATAAATACCAACAATTTAATCAAACCTGTCTTTTGCTCATCTACAGATATTATATTTGAGAAAGTTCGTCACTTTCGTCGCCTAAAACTTCAGAAACACTTAACTTTCTAATTTGAAAAGCATAACAGTGGTTCATAATCATTTAAAGGGTGCACAGTTACATCAAGGGGTACGACTGTAGTCACTGTAGTTTAATTTTCAGTTTTTCATTAGTTTTGTTTAGATCTAATCTTGGGAAAGTCCGTCTTCTAAGACGCCATTGTAAACAAGTGAGGCTTCTGTTCACAAGCAGTGCGCACTGATTCTACAATGACTTGACAAGTCCGTTCATCAAACGGGTACCCAGCTAGTACATACGTAAATACCAACGAGTTAGTCAAACCTGTCTTCTGTTCACACATACATAAACACCACTTTGTCGATTAAACTTGTCTTCTGTTCACACATACATAAACACCACTTTGTCCATCACACCTGTCTTCTGCTCACACATACAAAATACCAACAAGTTAATCAAACCTGTCTTCTACTCATACATACCTCATCATCAATCTTGGTCTGTGTGTCCTCTTCATTTTCCTCCTCCGGAGAAAACAACGACTTCTCTCCATATCCAGCATCCTGGGGGTGGGGTGGGTGATGGTGGTCGTGGGATAGAACAATCGAAACTCAAATATTGTCAAACAACAACACTCATATATATCATCAAATAACAACACTTAAATATCATCAAAGAACTAAACTCGATTATCATCAAACAAATTGACGGTTTTCCTGCTCCTACACAAAACAGCATTCTTTGACTAGAACATATTGAATTTGGTCGACTGAAAGTTAAAACTAACACCTATAGTCATGTATCCCTTTTTTATAATGCTGATGTAAAATGGAATAAAAGTGTCCACAAAATGTGAGGCAGCGTGGTGGAATCAGGCTCTCGTCAAAATAATCAAAGTGAAGAGACTTGCATTTTTCTGTAGGTCTGTGAATTTTTATCAAATTATTTTTTGGGGGCTCAACACCTTTCATGCCCTTTAAAGAACTCATTTCTGAGTGGATTTTTCGGAAAAGTATTGATTAAAGGCACAAAAATGTAAATTTTCAGTTACCACGGACTCTTAAGCTAAGGAAATAACTAATCTTTGGCGGCCATTTTCTCACTAATTTTACCTCTGAAAACAGGTGACCCCCACCTCCTTCTTTCGCAAATATCTCGACTTGTATTCAAGATAAATGGATATTTTTTCCATCCAAATAAGGACAAGTGAACAAGCTTTAAGAAGATACCAATAACTGTACATGCCCAAAAATTGACGAGATCCTGATTCCACCACGCTGCCTCACATATGAAAAGTGAAAAGTCAAAACTTTTTTCACAGTGCAATGGGCCTCAAAGCCACATAGGACAGAGACAAAGTCAGATGCAAAATCTTTAAGAATTTATTTTAAAACCAACCTTATCAATCAAATGCTCATTTCCTCCACTACTCTCCCTCTACTACACGACCTCACCTTATGCCTCTCGCGACCTCAGTGCTTTCTTGTCCTATCTCCATTTTTTTTTACATTGAAAGTGTGACTTCTTCCTAAGCTCACTCTTTGTTATAAACTGTTTTAACTGTTAAAAGAAATGGAGACACGACAAGAAAGCACTGAGGTCACGCTCTGCTCCCCTCTCAAACTGTACCAGCCACAACACTGCTCGAGAGACACCATGGCCCGTATCTCTTCCCCTCTCTCTCCTCTCCCTCTCCTCCCTCACCTTGAGCCTCTCCTCTCCTCTCCTCCCCCCCTCCTCACCTTCAGCCTCTGCTCGGCTGTGATCAAGCTGTACCAGCCACAGCACTGTTCAGGAGACACCATGGCCCGGATCTCCTCCTCCGTCGGCAGACGGAAGTCCGGCTTCAGCACCCACCAGTTCGAGTCCATGCCTGGGGGGGAAGAGGGAGTTGGACAAGACAATAATAACATGAACATAAAATAACAACAAAATAACAATAATGATGATAAGAATTTTCACACAAAACAACAACAAAACAATAATGACAATAAATAGCTTCGTGTAGCCACCTCAGCCCATCATGAGGGCCCAAAGCACATGATAAGTGAGCTGATAGTTCTGTACATTGACAGTAATCACAGAGACAGAGAGAGGTAATCACAGTGACAGAGAGAGTGATAGTTCTGTACATTGACAGTAATCACAGTGACAGAGAGAGTGATAGTTCTGTACATTGACAGTAATCACAGAGACAGACAGAGGCTGAAAGTTATGTGGATTTACGGTAATCATGGTGACAGAGAGAGAGTGATAGTTCTGTACATTGACAGTAATCAAAGTGACAGAGAGAGAGTGATAGTTTTGTACATTGACAGTAATTACAGTGACAGAGAGAGAGTGATAGTTCTGTACATTGACAGTAATCACAGTGACACAGAGAGGCTGAAAGTTCTGTACATTGACAGTAATCACAGTGACAGAGAGAGGCTGAAAGTTATGTGGATTTACAGTAATCATGGTGACAGAGACAGGCTGATAGTTCTGTACATTTACAGTAATCACAGTGACAGAGAGAGGCTGAAAGTTCTGTACATTGACAGTAATCACAGTGACAGAGAGAGGCTGAAAGTTATGTGAATTTACGGTAATCATGGTGACAGAGAGAGAGTGATAGTTCTGTACATTGACAGTAATCAAAGTGACAGAGAGAGAGTGATAGTTTTGTACATTGACAGTAATCACAGTGACAGAGAGAGTGATAGTTTTGTTCATTGACAGTAATCACGGTGACACAGAGAGGCTGAAAGTTATGTGGATTTACGGTAATCACGGTGACACTGAGAGGCTGATAGTTCATAGTTCTGTACATTGACAGTAGTCACAGTGACAGAGAGAGTGATAGTTCTGTACATTGATAGTAGACACAGACAGAGAGGCTGAAAGTTCTGTACATTGACAGTAATCACAAACAGAGAGGCTGAAAGTTCTGTACTTTTTTAATAACCACAGTGACAGAGAGGCTGAAAGTAATGTACTTTTTACTTTTTTAATAACCACAGTGACAGAGAGGCTGAAAGTAATGCACTTTTTTAATAACCACAGTGACAGAGAGGTCACTGAGACTAGAAAAGAACGACTAAAGACATGTCCCCCCCACCTGTTCTCTTGAAGTCAGCGCACAGTTTCAGCCTTTTCCTGATGCTGCTCTCCGAGTGCGCCAAAAACGCTTTCTTGATGTCCTCCATCTTGATTCTGCGCGGCTCGTCCTTGCTCTTCCAGAACAGCCTGTAGATGAACACCTGGCGACCACAAGAGAAATTTATTGTCACTGGCACTACAGACCATGGAACAGACCACACTACAGACCAGCCAACTCAAAAATGGTGAATTGGTATAGGTTTAACGCCCGTATCAACACTGTTAGGTTATTCAAGAGGCGGGACCTCCGAGCTTAACATCCTTCTCTGAAAGGAATAGGCCAAGCAGGAAATTTGCGTAAAGTGACTTTCTCAAGGATGACAATGTCGGACCGAGCTAAGGCTCGAGCCCCCGAACCTGCAGTCTCACGATAACGAGTCCGGTAGCATAACCACCAGACTACTGACGCCACTTCAGCCAACTCAGCAAAGGTATCCAGCTCACAAAAATTGAGTCTACAAAATTACTTTCTTATGACAGCAGTCCAGATGGTAGTAACAACACTGACTTTATCAAAATTAGAAAACTGTAACACCATCTTGCCTGGCATGACGGCTGAAAAACTTTCAAAGTTTCAACTTCTTAAAAACCAAGAATTAAAACTAATAATAAAACAAAATCAATCAGAGCATGTAACCCATGTTCTCAAAGAACTACATTGGCAGCCGGTAAAGCAAAGGATCAAATACAAAAACTGCGGTTTTCTGTTATAAATGTCTCAACTCAATAACACTGAATCTATATATCTAAAACAATTCCTGGAATAATATTATCCTAGAGCCCTCAGATCATCCACCGATAAACTGATGCATAAAACTGTTAACGAAGTTACAAAATGTACACGACTGTTCCAATCTTATTTTGGGGTTCCCGTGTATGGAACAAACTCCCACAAAACATATAAAGTGGCCTGACTATTCAGATTTTTACAAACAGCTGAAAAAATTACTTATTCACAAATGCGTACTTGTCATAAGGATGTTACATCCCCTTAAAACACCGTTTCTCCCCAAAGAGTGTGTGTCCTTTTGCGTGACGCAGCGTCACATCATGAGTGGTTCTTATCGCTCCAAAACCAATCAAGTAAGATTATAAAAAACCCATCTCCTTACATGCAACGTGACCTTGACCTTGATGTAGCGTCACATCATGAGTGGTTCTTACCGCTCCAAAACCAATCAAGTAATATAATAAAATACCCGTATCCTTACAAGCAACGCACGACGTTTAGCCATGCGTGACCGCCGCCTGTGATGGTCCATGTAGTGACCGAGACCTCGTCTCACCCAACAGACTTATGATCTGACAGGTTTAAAGCATCGCCATTGGTCAAAATACCAAGCCAAGGAGTGCCGGTCGAAACGCCGCGTGTGTTGTGTGTGATGTTGTCAAGCTTAAGGATACACACCTCACTACTCATCCCTAACGACTGATGAGCACGACACGACGTCACGTCGCACCTAAGGAGACATATGCTAAAGCAGTGAGAATACAAGGGAAATAAAATCACAGCGTGTGGGGTTCGGAAAGAAGGAGCTAAGGAGTAGCAATAGAAAGGCCTCAGAAAGAGTCAGGAGCCCAGAGGAGGGGGAAAAGGAGGTGAGGGGGGAGGGGGCAGAAAGTGGAGACGAAAGCAGACGACAGAATATAGCTAGAGAGCAGGAAAGGAGGTGAAAGGAGAAAATTTTTCCGGCGCTACCCGGATTTGAACTCGGACCTTTGAATGAGAGAGAGCCCCCAGTGTGTGTACCTGTAAGAAGTCCCGGACAAAGTTGTTGGCCCTCTTTGAGTTGGGCCCGGGGACTTCCATGAGCGGACCCTCCTGCCCCACAGCGTAGATTGTCTCCACTTCCCGCACAAAATACCTGGGGAATAGCACAGGTACAGGCAAATCTCTCAACACCTACGGAACAATACACATAGTGTCAAATTTTTGAAATACCTGTGGAACAACAAAACTAGTCAAAATCTTTGATGTACCTAGGTCTATCCCAGCCTTTTTTCACAAGCAAAATGTTCAAGGCCATTCATTTTTTTAAAAGCGGAGGACCACTGTTTATTTTTAGCGGTGGTCGACCGATTTTTTTCTTGTTTTTTACAAGAAAAAATCGGTTGACCACTGCTAAAAATAGAAAGAAAAAAAATCGGTGGTAAAAACAAAAAAAGTAAAAATCAGTGGACCACCGTTATAATTTTTTTTTTTTATAAAAAAATTAAAATCAGTGGACCATCGCAAAAAAAATTTTTAAACAAGAAAAAATCCTTGGACCACCGTAAAAAATAAAATATTTTTAAAAATCATGGGACCACCATTATAACCAAAAAAAACCCAGATAAAATTGTAAGACCTCCGGCAGAAAATTGTTTCCTTCTAAAAGACAAGAATCGATCACTTTTAAAAGACAAGAATCAATCACCATTAAAAGAAGACAAAAAAAAAGAAAAACTCAGTGTACCGCCGAAAAAAAAAACCCAAAACAACTCAGTGGCTCACTCACCCGTGTCGAGTGCGGATGACCAGGAAGTCGGTGGGCGCCACCTTGTGTTCGTAGATCGGGGATCGGAACATGTTGTTCTCCAGCGCCTGCTGGCAGTTGCCAGGTTTCAGCGCCCCGATGAACGGCGAGGTGTGG